ACAGAGTCAGAAAGACAGTGAGAGAGATTCAGAGACAGAGTCAGAGACACAGAGACAGAGAGAGATTGGCAGGCAGATGGACAAAGGGAGTGAGAGGCCACCTCCTCCCTCCCACCCCATCTCCTCTGAGCCTTCTCTCTACCTCTTGCTCCCTCCTTTCCCCCCAGTGCAGGCAGGAGGGCACCAGCCTGCCTCCCTCATCCCAGGGGCAGCAGGGCGTCTGCCCCCCAGATGGAAGCCAAGCATCAACATGGATAAACGTTAAAGGGACCTCACTTCACTGACAGCCAAAATGCTCCACTTTGGTTGGTGCGCCCCCCGGCTGGCCGGGCACCCCTCAGAATTCGCACCAGGGGCCGGCTGGTTTGGTTGGTTTTGCTTTTTAACTGATCTGGGGGTCGGTTTAACCCTCTGAGTTTGCTGCGTTTGTCATTTGGTTTTTAGAAAATCGTTTTAATTGTGTTTAAGCTTAGGTTTAACTCTGGTTTGGGGGGTCGGTTTGAGGGGGTGGTGCTGGAGGTGGGGCGCATCTTTGGGCCCCCTTCTCCCCCAGTCGTTCAGCTCCTGGTGCTGGGGGCAGTTTAAGTCCTGGCTTAGCCCTCGTTAGCCTCTGGTTTAGCTCTTCGTTAAAGATCTGGTTTAGTGTTAAGGTGTCCGCTAGCCCAGCCCACCCCCTCGGGACCCTGGGCTGAGGATGGGCCAACTTGCGACTCGCCTGCCGGTCCTCTCTGCTCAAGGCTCTGGGAGCAGTCACTCCGGATACTCCATCCTTCACCCATCCAGGGTAGAAAGCAGCTCTCCCCACCACCCTCGGGGCAAGTGCCAGGCCTCCAGGCAGAGGGCCTAGGGGCTTGGCTCAGGGCTGCCTCCTCCACGGACTGCCACCTGCCCCAGGGCGCCTGGGAAAGAGCAAGCGATTCTAGGCGGAGTCAGAACTGACTTTTTTATGTTTCCATAAGTCACTTTCCCCATGCCCTAATTTCTTCATTTCTCTAACACAGAATGCCACATTTCGATGTAAATAGCACCTCTGTTCACCCCACATTTTATCTGCGGGGAAAACGAGGCCCGGAGGTGCTAAATCATCTCTCCGGCTGCATGCCTGTTAATCACGCCCCAAGCTCACATTGCTATCGGTTAGCAAAGCGCTTTCCCCAGAAGCTCCCTATGCAATATTATCACCCCCATTTAACAGACGGGAACACTGAGGTTCAGACGGAGTCAGTGCCGGTGCTGCTAACTCCACACGGCAATGCTTCCTCTCTAAATGCCTCGTCCAGGGTCACAGCCCTGGTGTTCCCTCTACCGTGCCAGGGCGACGTTGCCCCCAACCCCTGAGAGGGGAGGAGGGCCGGTATTGCCATCCCTGCCCCCTATCGGCTGCTAGGCAAATCATGGGGGACCCGAGTGGCCATCGGATCCAATCTCTTCATTTAACAGTTGAGGGAACCCAAGTCCAGATAAGGTAAGTGATTTGCCCAGACCTGCACAGCTAGCAGATATCTGAGGCAGGATTCAAACCCAGATCTTTCTGAATCCACATCCAGTACTCTACCCACTCCAAAGCCTGGCTTCTCACAGAGGGGAAATCTCACCCTCCACCACTGACCTCTGCATCTCCAAACTTCCTTTCCTCTCCTCGTAGCCTGCTGGGCTGCACCCTGCCCTCTCCCCCCGGCTACCCAGGTGCCCCACCCCAGTCACAAGCTGTCCCAGCCTCAGCCTGGGCTCTCTCTCTTGGCCTCTCTGGTTCCAGGATAGGGGGTGGCTGTTGGCGAGGAGAGCCTGGGGACCTGGCGAAGCCGCCCTGCGGCCCCAGCCATCCCCTCTGCCCTGCCCAGCCCCACTAGCACACTCCTCAAAGGGTTAAAGCTTGCCCAGCTGGACAGAAAAGCAGCCCAATGTAGGCTCTGGCTTTTGCTTTTAGTGATCTTGTTACAGTCCCTTTAACTTTTGGTCCTGCTGTGGGTTTATCACATCTGATTATTGGCATGTTTAGTCCCCACCTGGGGGGTCAGGAAGTGATGGGGTTTAGTTGGGGGGAAATCCCCCATGAACATTTAAAAGCAGAGTTATCAGCTGGTTAAGTGGACTTTTAGCAGTTCTACCGCCCCCTCGAGTTTAGCCTTAAAGGTACAGAGCTCGCCCTGCCCCTCCAGAGGGGACTTGAAGGGTGGGGATGGGGATCACAGAATGGCCTGACCCCGCCCTGGGCGCCCAGAGTTCTGTCTGTGGCTGGACGCTTCTGCCTCCCAGTCCTGGAGATGCCCCATCCTCCTGCAAAGTCCACTCTATCCTTTCTCATTACCAATGCATTCTTGAGACCACCTCCCAATTTCTGAGGGTGCCAGGTGGTCCAGGGCTGTACCGGTGCATGGGATGCAAAGGCACCAGCCTTTGGGGGGGATGGAGAACTTTCCTCTGAGGGCTAGAGCCGCCCAGCACTTTCTATGTGCCAGCCCTCCACTCCCTTCTCATCATTCTCTTCTCTCTGTTTTGCTATACCTCCCTCCACTTCCATCCCTCTCAGCTCCTTACATGTGATCTCTCCCCATTCCCTCGCCTTAACTCCATTCTCCCCATTTCAATCTGGCTCCTGAGCATTGCTCTCCTCTAATCACTGCTTCCATAAAAACCTTCTTGCTCTGCTGCTTTCTGTCCCTCCTGAAGGAGCCCTGCTTCACATAGCCTACCTTTCCTGCCTACCAGCTTCCAGAAGCTTCATGTCCAGGGACATAGAATTCTCTAGGCTTGAACCTCCCATTCTGGGGCAGGGAGAACCTTGGGAATGAAGGTTTGTAGAATGAATGCAAGAATGAATAAATGCATCTATGAATGAATGAATGTCTGCCTCAGTAAGGAAATCAATGGGCGACTCCCTGCGCTCAGCCCAGCTGGGCATCTCTGCCTTGTGCAAACCCTCTACAAAGACTCTACATCGGCATCATTTGGATGGTGTGGACAGACCCTTCCCAGCCCACGAGGATGGTCCCCATGCCCCACACTAGCCCAGGGAGCAAAGTCTCCACAGACAGGGTGGAAGCCCAGTGGGGTCATCGGCCAATCTGCCCTTCACTCGGGAAAGGGGGTGGGGGAAAGAGAGAGCTCTGCACCATTAAGAGTGTGGTTTTAAGTTAATTAATTAATTCTGGTTAATTACCTTTGTCGAGCAGCCACTCATCTACTACTCGACCAAGCCGGTAGGGGATTCTCTGTCTAGCAATCGCCAGGCGTTCGTTATCAAAGTTTCCTTGGAAAAGTTTAGAGAGACAGTAGTTTTCTCAGACACACGAAGTCCCAATGAATTAAAAGAGTAAATTATTCAGAACTCAGGAGAATCAGAGTAAGCGGCGGTGGCTGGCGGCGTGGTGGTGGCGGCAGCGGCATCCAACCGAAAGGGATGGACGGGGGAAAGACCCCACGAAAAAACAAGAGGCTGGGGTTCTGTATCCCTCACCTCCCGGCCACCTCCCTGGGTCTCCCCTCCAAGGCCCTCCCGGGGCCCTGGGCGTACAACCCAAACCGACCATTTGGAAGGAAAGCCAAGAAACCCCGAGAAGAAGGTAACCGGAAGGTCAAAAGTCAGAGGTTAAACAGATTTAGAGGGCCCAGGCACAGCCTCCACCAGAGTGGGGAGCTGATGCAGGGATGGGGGTGTTTAGCGGCTTTAGGTTGGGGGGCAGGGGTGGCAGGCAGCCCTGGTCCCAGCTGGTTACTGTGTTTAGAGGGTGGTTTAGTTTGGGGGGAGGGTTAAGCAAGGTTTATGCGGCATTTAGGGGGGCACCCGGCACACAAGTTTACAGCGAGGGGTTTATTTCCTCCCCGCACCCCAAGGCTCCTTTGAATCCCGTCACAGGCCAGCCCAAGGCCCAGCCTCCCCTGGGTCCCCTGAGCCTGCTCTCCTCACGTCACATTCCTTTCCCTCGCCTTCATCCACAATACCCAAGGCACTCAGCGCCCCTTTCTCCAGTCTCCCTTCCATTTTCCTCTTGTTTCCTCCCTACCTGGCCTTCCCCCAAACGGGGACAAGGCCTTCTGCCCTGGGCACTTACACGTGGTGTAAGTTACTCCATTCCCAAGCAGCCAGGGCTGCCTCTCAGCCACGGGCTGCTCTCCCAGCCTCTCCACACGCCCCATCCCTTCCCCTCAGTCTCTCTCTTCTCTCTCCCTGCCTTCCAGCACTCACTGCTCTCAGCTCTCCCAGCTCCCCATTTCTTTTCCTCTCTTTCTGAATCTTGCTTCACTTCCCCCATCTCAATCTCTCCCGATTCCTCATCTCTCCCTTTCCTTCCTTCCCTGCCTCCCAACATGTGCTGAGCTCCCCAGCTCCCCACATCCTCACGTGACTGCTTCTTGCTTCCCTTATCCACCTCCAGTTCTCCCCAGCCTCTCTTTACCTCTCTCTCCCCAACATCTCTCCATCTGTCTCCTCCCCTAATTTCCCAAGCCCTCACCCCTCTCACCACCCTCTCCCCTTGCGGATTCTCAAGACTCCACTCCCCATCTGTATAACACACCTGTTATTCACTCCTCTGTCTCCCTATTCCCATCTCTCTCTCTCTCTCTCTCCTACCTCCCCCTCAGGGTGATGGGAAGGGGGAGGGGTGCCCCTTGGGAAGGAGAGCGATTCATAGAAGAGGGGGAGGATATATGGAAGGGCTAACCTTGGGGACTTCAGTCAGCCAGTCAATAAGTCTTTATTAAGCACCTACTATGTGCCAGGCACTGTACTATGAGCTGGAAATACAAAGAAAGGCAAAAAGCACACTCTACCCTCAGGGAGTGCCAGAGCGTGTGCGTGTCTGAGGTATTTGTCAATTATGTGTCTAAGGATATTTATCAATGGACACAGGTGTCTAAGGACGTTTGTCAGTGTGTAAACATGTGTCTGAAGGTGTTTGTCAGCAAGCCAGTATGTGTGTCTCAAGGAGTTCATCAGTGTATACCTGAGTGCACAGCCCCTCATGTGTCCCTCCTTGCTGCTGGAGGGTGCAGCAGGCTCCCAGGCTGCAGTGCCAGACATAAGGGCAGCTTTCTTAAGGACCCTGAGTGTCTGCCTTGTGAATCTCCAAGGCTGCATTGGGGAGGTATCTATCTGCCTGAGGGCAAGGTTGGAGGTCTCCAGCCTTCTCTTATGCTCCCCAGCTCTTCTTGAGACTTTGGGCCAATCAGTCCGTAACAATTCTGTTTTCGTGTGTGTGTGTGTGTGTGTGTGTGCATGTGCATGCTCAAATTCCTGGCTCACTTGTGCATAACTATTCTGCATTGCCCACATGTATGTCCATGTGCCCAGGTGGGGGGGGGGAAGCATGACTCTCATCTAGAGAGATGGATAAACAGCCTTGGGATGGCATCTGCCTTTTGCAGGAGGAGGCAGAATGGAGAAACAGTGGGGAGAGAGAAACTGTCCTCAGGGTGTGTGTGTGTGTGTGTGTGTGTGTGTGTGTGTGTGTGTGTGTGTGT